AAAAAATTGCACCTACACGGAACACATGCATTTTTGACCTAATTTCCTGAATAATAGCATTATATTGTTTAGTCTCTATATTGTATTAGTTATTATAAGTATTCTAGAGACAACTAAAAATGCACAGGAGGATGTGTGTAGATTACATGTAAATATGTGTCATTTTATATAAGAGACTCAAGCATTGGTATACATTGTATACAAGATACATTGGTATCTTGAGGAGAGGGGGTTCTGGAAGAAATCCCCCGATACATACTGAGGAGAGTGCCTCCTAAGCAAAGGAGCCTGAACTTAAAGTTATAAGTAAATTAAGTGGAAAGATATTGCTGCACTCAGTAGCAAGCTTCCAACACATGAAACCTTTGGGGACAACACACTCAGGCCATATCCAAACCATAACAAGTACCTAATTTTATGTGGTAGTTTTGCACTTAGGAATGTACTATTTAGTTTGCACACTTTTGAGCTTTCTAAACAGGAATCATATCTAATCTATTTCTCTGCAACTTGTTTTATTAGCTCAAGGTCATGGTTCAGAAATTCATCCATATTGACAAACTTATGACTATAATTAATTCTATTTCATGAAATAATTCACTACAATTCATCTATTTCCCCAAAATGTACATTTGGATCGACTACTTCCAGTTCTTCTTATTGCAAACACCACAGCAAGGAACACTAGGGCTCATGGGCCCTGGTAGGATGAGGAGGTTCTCTAGAGTGTGTATCAGTGGATGAGTTCAGGAGGCCAATATCTGATATCTTCAGGGGATTTAGGTTTTGTTTTTGCCAAACTGGAAAGTATGAAATATATCTTATGGTAGTTTTAAGACATATTTACTTGATCATTAATGAAGTTGAATATCAAGCTTATTGGTTATTTCTGTTTCCTCGTCTATGAATTCCTTTTCAAATACTGTGTCATTTTTCTATTGAGTAATTTATCTATTATTATTATTATTATTATTAGCAGTACTGGGAATGGAACCCAGGGCTCTTCAGACGCAAGGTAAGCACTCTACTACTGGCTACATCCCAGCCCCCAAAATCTCTTCATATGTTCTATATACTAATTATTTGTCAGTTTGCAAATCATTTTAATTAATTAACTTGCCTTTTCACTTCCTGTATTGTATTTGAATGAATAATCTTTTCCACCAGATCTGAAATGTTTGCTCTGTCATAAATCAAATTTCCATACATATGTAGTTATTTTCTCGATTCTATTCTGGTCTATTCATCTATTTGTCTGTCCTGGTGCCAATATAACCATGTCTTAATTATTATGTCTTTATATATCTGGTAGGTCATAACTTCCAATTTTGGTTATCAAATTTTTGCTAGCTTCATAAGTATGAATTAGAAAATATCCTGGGAAATAATGAAATTATTTGTGCCTTTGATATTTGACAGAATTCATTTGTTAGATTATTGGTTTGGGGTTTTTTGTTTGTTTTTTAATATATATATATATATATATATACACACACACACACACACACACACATATACATATACATATACATATACATATACATATACATATATACACAAGGGTGGAAGGTTCCAGAGATTGAGCTCAGGGGCACTCCACCACTGAGCCCCATCCCCAGCCCTATTTCTTATTTTATTTAAAGACAGGGTCTCACTGAGTTGCTTAGCTCCTTACTTTTGCTGAGGCTGTCTTTGAACTTGTTATCCTCCTGCCTCAGCCTCCCGAGCCTCTGGGATTATAAGTGTACACCATGGTGCCCAATACTACTGATTTATTTTAACAGTTGTAATGGTATTAGCCTTTCTATTTCTTCATGAGTCAATTTTGTCATATATTTAGAAATTTGTCTGCTTTGCCCACATTTTCAAAATTATAACCATAAAGGTATGTAAAACATACTCTTACTATGTTTTTCATCTCTGTAATATCTATGGTAATCTGCTTTTCCATTCTTAATATTGTTTATTTGTACAGTCTCTTTTTTCTTGATCAATCTTGTCATTGATTATTTCATTCATTTCTGCTCTTTTGTTTTCCTTCCTTCTTTCTTTGCTGTTTCTACTCCTGCTCTATTTTTTCAGTTTATGTTGTACACTTAGCACATTAATTTCAGTCTTTCTACTTTAATATGAATATGTAGGATTATGTTTAATTCAGTACCACTCTTGCTGCATTTTACAAATGTTGATATCTAATTTTTTTCTATTTATCTACAAATACATTTAATTTCTAATAAGTTTTCTTCTTTGATGCATGAATTATTTTAAAGTATTTTTTTTTACTTTCTAGATAAACTAAGAGTTTTTAGGTCATTTTGTTACTACCTTCCAACTTAATTGCACTAGAATTAGAGGACATGATCTATATAAAACACATCCTTTGAAATGTGTTGGCCCAATATATAGTCATTTTGAACATTTTGTGTGTTCTTAAAAAGAATGTGAATTCTATGGGCTGGGGTTGGCTCAAATGGTAGAATGCTCACCTAGCACATGCGAGGCACTGGGTTCGATCCTCAGCACCACATAAAAATAAAATGAAGATATTGTATCCTCCTAAAACTAAAATATATGTATATATATTTTTTAAAAGAAGGTGGATTCTCCAGTGTTGAATGCAAAAACTTTTATATATGTATAGATTCTTTGTTTTATATATATATAGTATATATACACACACATACACACACACACAAACACACCACACACCTATATATGTGTGTATGTATATATAAACACACACACATATATGTACACATTTATATATATATGTATTTTGTGCATACATTGATTTATATGTGTATTTTTTATATGAAGCTTATTAGTTGTATGGTTCTTCAGTGGGTTTTTTTACTCCACAGAATATCGATTATTGAAGGAGTTATATTAAAACCTCTCCCTATAATCACTGACTTACTTATTTTTATTATGGTTCTGATTTTTCTTTATATATTTTAAAGTAAACAAATTTACACTTGTGATATATTCCCAAACTCTCTATTATTAAACAATGAACCTCTTTGTCACTAGTAATGCCATTTGCCAGCTACGAAGAAAACTGTACCAGTATTTTGTTAGGGGATATAGGAGTTTGTATTTGCCTAGAATATCTTTTCCCACCTTTTACTTTCAAACTTCGTTTCCTTCTGTTTTAAACATATCTAGTTAAGAAGCACATCTCTGGATTTTGTTGTTTTTTTTGCTTTCCTTTATTTCTGAGTGTTTTTTTAAATCTAGTCTGACAATCTTCATCTTTTTAAAGAATCCATTTATTCCGATGGCAATTACTAACATATTTTTATCTATTTCTTCCATCTCTTTTGCGTTTTCATCTCTTTTTTCCCACATTTTATCTTTACCTTTAGTGACGAAATTTCTAACAAATGAAGCTCATCATATTTTAATGAAGGGAAGGAATTATAGTTTCTTACCAACTCTATTTTGCAGAGAATGACAAATTAAGATTCAATGGGAAACACATTCCTAATGTTAGAAAGCTGATTAATGACAAAGCCAAGGGCCAAACATGAGTAACACAGCATCTGGTACTCTCCCACTACTTCACTGGTCCTTAACCAGGGCTATAATAGAAAGATTCGACATCTTACTATAGACTGTCTGCAAAGCACTTCAAAGTAAGGTGAAAGACAAGTGCTAAGCTACTCATTTGCACATGGGAAATCTAAGACTTAAAGACATTTATAGTATCTATAAGCAGAGAAACTCTGTATTATAAATAAAAGTCTTAAATTTCTAGAAATTCTGAAGTTCTGGGAAAAAAAGAAACTAAATAGATGTTTATAAAGGAAAAATATGAAAAAATATAATAATAAATACACTATTTATTATTAGTTTTGCTCAGAAAGTTGCATGAAATTTAAATATATTCAGATCTGACAGCATTTTATATTTTAGTTTTTGCCACTTTAGAAGATGGAAACAAACACTTGAGTACAAAAAAGTAATTGATATTATATTTAACTTTAAGAAAGTTGGCATGCTGTTGGGATTTCTGATTTTCCAGAATGAGAAGCCAGCCTAGAAAGTAACAATTTTCAAGAAAGAGCTGAAAAAAAGTCCAGGGCACATCTGTAATCACATGGCACCTGTTCCTCAGTTTCCCTTTCTGGTCTCCCTCCCAGAAGCTGCTTCTGATCCTCGGTGTCATCACCTTCATGAACCTCTGAGAATCAAACATGCTTCCTGAGTTGAATTTTAAGTCGGTTTGCTTGTGTTTTGTTTTCACCTTACAGATTTTGAAGCACAGACTCATTTTTATTTTTACATTAAAATTTGAGATTAGGTAAGAAGCAAGTCTCAGAGGATCCTGGGCAAAAGCCAGACTCCTGGTATGATAGAGCAATCCTCTGGTACCTCAGGACTAAGAAAAGGGTCACAATTCTGCCTCCTGTGAAAGCACTTCATTATTATTAACACATATTATTTGTACACATTTATGGGCTTTACTGTGACATTTCTATATGGTGCCTTGACCATGACCATCCTCCTTCCCTCCACCCTTTCTTGCCCTATTCCCCTTCCCTAATAGTCTCTGTTATGCTTACATAGCACTTCTCAAATATCGATTTTAAAGAATCCCTTTTCCTGTAATTCAGGCCAAGGTGAGAACAAAATGCTACTGGAATTCTGATCTAAAACATCCACAATAGCACACCTTACTTGACACTAAAATTATGCTCACATCTTAATGAAATCATTCACTTGCTTTTAAACTTGTAAGTGAAACCATGTAGATTCTCCCCATCAGGTGGCTCTTTACAAGATCATTTGATCAGCAATGATCTTAGAGAACACTACCTGAAGTTAGTTTCACCCTCTTGTTCCATGCCTTAAAAAAAATTACTTGGAGGAAATACATTCAGGATGAGAACATAAGACACCTTTATCTTAAAGGTCAATACCTGTGTCTCTTGATTCTGAGCTCAGAACTCCACAAAAAGCTAAGCAGAAAGAGGCTTAAAAGGAAATGATGCACATACCTTCCTTACAAGCAGTGTGGCCATTTGAGACACTACCATATGGCCAAGGAAGAGCCACACCAGTCTCTGCTTCGCCCATTCCATCCAGAAGCTCCACTCAAAATCGGTTGGGTCCTAAATAGGTTGAAAGAGGAGTTGATACTATCAGAGAGATTTTAGCACATGTCTGAGTCAGAACGTAAGTTTCAGTGAATAACACAACTTCAAAGAAGATCAATTTGAGCCTAAATCTGTAAAATAGTATTTATCTACTTTTAACCATTCCCCACGCAATGACCCTCCACCCATCCTAAACTATTCCCTCCAGTCTGGCTGGTCTTGGGGCCAATCTCCAAATAAACCTCACATTTTCTCTATAATTCAGTATCTTTTGCTAAAGTTGGCCCCTTGGGACCCTCTATGGGATAGAAGCTATTACCATCCCCAATTTGTAAAAGATGAAACAGGCTTAAGGACATCAATTCATTTACTGAAGGTCACAAAGATAGTACAAGTAATGAATTGAGGCTGTCTCTGTTTAGACACCAAGACGCCTCCTTTAACAACAGAATGTAAATTGGACACTAATAAAAGCACTTACGGTCTGTCATGTTAAATCTTGCTGTCATTTACAGGCAGCAGGGTAACTGAATAGAGAAATTAGCCAATTTTATATAAACTGAAAGAAAGGATGAGAGATCCACTTCCCTTCCCCTGGAGAAGTTCTGCATCAATGGAAGGCTCTGTGTCTGCATCTGTACCAGGTCCCATATCTCTATGCTGCACCCTGGCAGGGGCAGATGGAAACCTCCGACAGCAACAGACATGAGGACACCTGGGAGCCAGCATCTAAAAGCCATAGCCTCAGGAGCCCCAGGGGAAATCATGGTGGCCAAGTTGAGCATGGAGAAAACAAACACAGCTATCGGCCACCCTAAGGCAGGGCAGGCTTGGCCACCGAGCAGCACCATCATGATGGAGTCAGAATCTTCTAGTAAATTGTGTGGGTGGGGAAGGAATGTTCCAATGACTACTGATATTAAACGCTTTTTTTATGGATCTCTGTAAATGGATCTTGGAGACCCACTTAATTGGATTTAGCAGTGAAAACTGTTTTTGCACCTGAAAATAAAGAAGTAATTGTATACCAGTTATATATGTTATAAAAGTTCTATTTTCTAGAAAAACCTATCTTGATTCATATCAGATATGAATGCTAAGGGAACAAACCTCAAAGACTTAGCCTAAGACCCCAAATCTACCCTCACATTTGTTGTGATGACCTTGAGACATAACCTTTCTGTTCTGTTTCTTCACATGACGATAGCATTTATTGGTATTTATGAGATTTAAATAAGAACATATTCAAAAAGAAATGTTACCTGCTATTCCCTTATAGTCCCATGAGTGCCCCATCCAGTTTTTTTTTAATTTTTTTCATTGTTGATAGATTTCTTTTTTTATTTGTTTATATGTAGTGCTGAGGATCGAACCCAGTGCCTCACACATGCCAGGTAAGTGCACTACCACTGAGCCACAGCCACAGCCCCCGCCCTATCCATGTTAACCACCAGCCAAGACTATACCATATTTACTTTTTGCCTCTTGTTTAAAAAAATAGTTTTTCCTATTTTTACAAATAAATAAATATGATTCTATGTGTTCTCTAATAATGCATGCTCCCCACACCCCCAAGGTGCTAATACACACACAACCTCCTCGGAGAATCCTTGTCCCCTGCTGAAAATCATGGAGCTAGTAGAATTCCTTCTATTTAGAGACAGCACCACATAGCCAGGCAGCAGAGCAGAAAACTCAAACCATTAATCTGTCTCTCCATTCCTGATCCAGAACTACTGCCCCATCTCTAAATTTCCAAATTAGCTAAAGGTAAGCAAATTTAAAGTTCATGTGATAAGGCCATGCTGGTAAATACCACTCTCGTAACAGAGATAAAGGCCAAAAGACACCAAAAACCAAAATTGAGTATTTTTATTATACCATTCAAAAAAGACTCTGACATTTTAGCTTTATAAGTGGCACACATCTGTAATCCCTGCTGCTCGGGAGAATGAGGCAGGACAATTGCAAGTTTAAAACCAGCCTCAACAATGGTGAGACACTAAATAACTCAGTAAGACCCTGTCTCTAAATAAAATACAAAATAAGACTGGGGATGTGGCTCAGTGGTTAACTGTGCCCCTCAGTTCAATCCCCAGTACCAAAAAATAGAAATAACTTTATATGTATGTATGTGTATATATAGATATATACACATACATACATACACACACACACACATATATAATGTTTTTGAACACTAAGAAATTTCATTTAGTATCCATGACCCCAGTCTTAATTATACTTCAAAACTTTTCCAAGTTTAAGTTTTTAGGGGGTGAAATTATATAAGCAACAACACCAACTTTCTTTCCATTAGAAAGCCAGAACTACTGAAAATTCTGTGCTGATAAAATCCCATCAACAAAAATTATATAATCTTTCCCTAATTCTTTCAGAAAATATTCATTTAAAAGAAAAATGACTTTCCTGGCATCCCCAATAAATATTTTTGAGAACCCCCAAAAGAGAAAAACATATATATGTATTTATATATATATATATATATATATATATTGGTATGACCAAAGATCTACCACCCAGAGGGTGCCTCATTAACACCCCCTAAACCCAAAGCCAGCCCAGCAACCTATACAAAAAAGTACTCAATAAACAGTACAGGGGCTAGGGATGTGGCGTGCGACCCGGGTTCGATCCTCAGCACCACATACAAAGATGTTGTGTCCGCAGAAAACTAAAAAATAAATATTAAAAATTCTCTCTCTCTCTCTCTCTCTCTCTCTCTCTCTCTCTCTCTCCCCCCCCCCTCTCTCTCTCTCTCTAAAAAATAAATAAATAAACAGTACAATTCAATACTTAAATCTACATCACAGATGCCCGACATTCAGTAGGCCTTTAAAGTGGTCAGGGGTGTGGAAGGAGCAGAGAAGTCAGGCAGCCCAAGACCTCCTCATATTTCTGCCCTTGTTTGAACATGAACAAGCCACCTACTACGTGGGCCTGAGTCTCCTTGTTGGTACCATGAAGAGCTGAACTAACACAGTGTCTAAGATTCCTCTCAGAGGGTAGAAGAAACAGTTACTTTCTAGGACAGAAGCCCTGGGGAGCACTGGTCACCCACCCTCCCATGGGCTGACCTGGCTGAGAAGGGGTGATCTCCCATCTTCCATCCCACATGACCAGGGAAAAAGGTTAAAAGAAAACGTTCTTGGCAAATGAGGACTTAGACTATCAATTCACTGCTGATAAAAATCCTTCCACTTTCCTGCATGAATTTTCATTACCCTTAAACCTGGCCAGATCCTAACGCCAGCATTCTGGTCTCTTGGTGGGGTATACACTGTCATCACAGGGGGGAGGCTAGGACCTGATTTCTGTGCTTTGTCTTGCATTCCCCCATACAATCCTGAAGCAAGCCACAGGCCCCGAAGCCTATCTTCTAGCTGCAGACGACAAATGTGGCTAAAAAGTCCAGGTCAATAGACTAAAATATTGTTAAATTGCCAAGCGCCAAGCACAATCTCAAAGCAAGATGTCACAAAAAAAAGAAGAGAAATTCGCCCTCAGCCATATCATTCACACCAAATTGTCACTCAGTCCATGAATTATCTCCCATCTGCAGTGAGTATGATCAGGAGCGTTCTTTTACTATACGTATGGATGGCATAACTTCCCATTGGCTCAGATGTCCACAGCTACAAAGGAAGCAGCTTCTAGAGAAGCCATGGAAGAGTCTCAGCAACAGCACATCAATTAGTCATTGTTATCCAGGAAAAACTGGGAGTCACTGTGAATCTCATTCCTGCCTTTGCTGTGTGCAGGACCTACTATAGTCCTGGGATCTATTCTCTGCCAGTTCAGGTTTATTCCATGCATTCTGTCCCCTCTGCATAACACCACAATAATAAGTTGAAGATCCTACCTCATCTTGTCACTCCTACCACCAGATATTCTTCATGCTTCTCCTAAGCATTCCAGAGAAGCCTTTTCAATGAGACTCCTGGCAGTTCTTCGTAACCTAGACCATCTACCCCACTACTATCCTACCTGCTCTGTCCCCCTCATCCCACATTACAACATACTAACCATTACCCAAAAGTGCCATGTCCACATGGTTGGGCCTTCTCCCTCTGTTTGGGGAAATTATCACCCAAACACCCTGTTAATGACAGCCTACCATACAGGTCTTAGCTTAGGCAGAAGCCTTCTCCTAAGTCACCTGTTCCCACTCTGGATTCAGTGTCCCTCACCAGGACCTTCATCCAGACAGTCTCCCACATTGCACTGTGGTTGCAGGCCACTAGACTACAAGTTTCTCTTTTGACACTTAGCATTGTCTCCCCCAGTAAATAAACAAACTAGACACTTGAGGAAAGTGTGTTGAAAAGATTAACTGAATACACACTATTATACATGGTTCAAATCATTGATAAGAACCTGGCATAAGCACTGACTATTGAGAAAGGGGAAGAAGAGTTACAAAAGGTAGAGAATCTGGGACCTGCCCTTGAATGCCATTATAAACACAGGTAGCAAACATAATAAACTCACAGAATATTTGTGGTAGATGATCTGTTCTGCCTATTACCTGCACGAATCAAGGCCTACTTTCTGATACATCACTCACTCATTTTAGAAACAAGGAAAAAAAAAAAGTACTATTACAACAGATGATCCATCATGGTTCAATTATAAGAATTAAATAAATTAAATATGGAAAACACTTGGAAGAATGTCTGGCATTTATTAAATACTATAGACATGTTCATTAAGTAAATATGTAAACAAAGAAACTCTATTTTACTTTGATAGCCCCAGAAACAATAAATCCAACAGTTTCCAAGCCGCACATACTCAAACCCATGGAGACACCTATGGGTGAAATATAAGAGAGTAGAGCTGTTCAAGCTCCCAACTCCAACCAAAAGAAAGGGCAGCATCCATATTCAGAGAAGCTGTGACTTCCAAAATGCCATGGGAAAGCAACCATGTTAATCTTTTCCTCAAAAGAAGATTCCTGTTCTCTATGGCAGACGCTGCTGTTGGACTCAATC